ATTTGCTGCCAGTGACTTGGTTCCCATGAGTGCCTCTCAACAGAAGAGCCTAAATCAAACACCTGGGGAAAAATCAGAATTTAAACTGGCTCATATTGATCCTTCTCTTGTCAGCAGTCCTTTTTGAAAATAAATCCCTTAGTTCACGGTGGTGACCTTCAAGGAAGACAGTTTCAGAAAGATTGCTGTAGAAGGGCTAAGTTCAGAGAATGACACTGTGTAGCATTTCTGGGTTAATTACATCATCAGAGCTATCAGCACAAAACATCCTGTAATGAATTAACTGTCGCTGGTGTTAAACTAATTCCAGTGTGGTCGTAAGACAGTTCTAGGTCTATGTACCTTGTGTTTTCTTTTATTCTTCCTCACTTCATCATTTCCTTTCCCAAATAAAATAATTTCTGCATTTTCTTAGTGAAGTAGCATTGAAGAATCAAACAAGAAATAAAGGTGGTTGCCTTTTGAGGAAACATCGGCTCCTGCCACAGAGGAAAATTAAAATAAAAAAAAGAAATAGGAACAAGAGACACTTGTTCAGGGACGTCAACAGGTAGGGTTCTTCAGCACATAATGATTTTGTTATGAGATCCTTTGGTTTTGAAAATAAGGCATTTAAAAATATTTGCGTCCATTTAACAGGTAATGGGAATTCTGGCAATATGAGGAAGTAATCATTTGACTGGTCCGTACATTTGTCATGGGCAGAATTAAAGTAGTTAAGAGCATGGGTTCTGGATTCAGAGTCTGGTTTTAGGCTTGGCTTCACTACCTGCTGTGCAGACTTAGGCAAGTCACATCCCCCGTCTGAGCCAGTTTTCCCATCTGTGAAATGGGAATGAGACTGACAGTACCTGTCTCATAAGAGTGGTTGTGAAATTAAGATAAGACAGCGCCTCATCTCCCGGAGCCCTGCAGCGAAGGCAGGCTGATTCTGCCCCCAGCCTGCCTGCCAGGGGAGCCGCCCTTCCCTAGTCAGAGTTAAAAGACTACAGATTAAGGAAGTTTTCACTGGTGTAGTGAGCCAGGGGCCCAGAGGTGCCCACAGCCCCGTAGGAAACCAGGCTTCTGAGAGTGCAGGGCCTACACCCTGGCTGTGCCTGAGGGACACAGGGCCATTGTCACAGCTGCTGCTAAACCCGCTGGTCAGGGCTTGGATGGGCCGGTGGGGCCTTCCATGGGCTCAGAGAACAGAGGCCCGGCAGGCTTTCCTTGGCTACCAGTTTTCTCTTGCTTTACACTTAAAAGCCACTTGTGTGACATTAAAGCCACATTAGGAAATATATATATTTAAATCATAAAAAAGACAGTGCAGGCCAACCTGAGTGCCCTCCGCACACTAACCAGTTAATGCGTGTTGCCTGTGACTAATGTTATAGCCATGTTTCCTTAGAAACTGTCCCATTTTTCTTTCATTTTTTGTAATGATTTTCAGTAGATAATATTGACTAGTTTTGATATTATATTCAGAAATATGAATCGGACATTAATTGCCAATGCCCTGAGACTGAAAAAAATTTGACTTAAAATTGGGAGAAAATGTACGTGTCCTGTAGAAGTCAGACATTTGTTCTGTGTGATGCATCTTGGTGACGCTAACCTGACAGACAGGCAGGACAGGTTTGGTGATCTCCAGCACGAGCTTCACCTTCATTTCCTCTCCACCACCCCACCCCCTTCTGTCTCATTACTTTTTCTCCTTTGACAGTAGTAGCCTAAGCCTTGAGCCTGCCAATAAGAAGCACTTTCACTCCAGGGACATCCAGAGAAAGTGCTACCGCATCAGAGACAACAGCATTTACTGCAAATGAGATAGTACTGATTTCGCAGGACACAAGGCCCTGGAGTTACTGAGAGCCATCCAGACCCTCTGCCTGCAGTTTTGAGCTCGCATGGAGCATGGCGTTTTAAGGAACAGACCCATGATTATGCCAGCCACCCCACACACACACAGAACACAAAACTTGTGTATCAACATATGTATGTATTTTTCTGGGTTTCAAGAATTCTGCATAATTAAGCTCAGACTACCTGCCAGGCATTAGGCCAGGTGAGGTGAGATAGTTCAGAGCTTCATTAGATTCACAAATGTCCTTGGTTTTCATCAGACTCTTAATTTTAAAGAGGTTAATAAACCAGAGCATCTAAGCACAGATTGCCATTGATCTCACTGTCTGAGTCCCTCTTTAGCTCAAGCCAGGTGCTGAGCTGGGTCTAGGCTTTGCTTTGCCTCAGCCTGGTCTTCTGGAAACACCTAGTCTCTACCTCCTTGCTTACAGAGAGTTCCAGAAACAAGCCTGTCTACCCACTGTGGCTCCATCCAGTTTCCTCACTGCAGAAAGATGGGCCAAAAACAGAAAAAAAGAAGGTACAAATGTCACCAAGTCCAAACTCAAGTCTGCTCACTGCAAAAAAGCCAGTAAATTAGGAGACAGGGTCTTGGGGCAATGAACAGTTACTTTATTTAGAAAGCCATTCAGAAAGCTGGCAGACCAAGAAGATGGCAGATTAAGGTCCTGGAGAACCATCTTCCCCAAGTCAGAATTCAGGCTCCTTTCCTACTTGCTTGGTTGTTGCAAACTTCTTGACATAAGAATTCTTTGTTCTTGGAATCCTGTGTTCTTGCAGCTGTCCACGTAGGTCAGATCATGGTGCCCCTGTAAACTTCCAACAAAAGAAATGTTATTTTGTATTCTGCAACTTGTTATCTTTATGTGAATGGAAATGTGTTAATGTCCTTAAAAGTCAGAGCCTTGGGAACAGGCTCTCCTCTATATTTCAGGCTATTGGCAACATTGTTCCACAAAAGGTGCAGAGCTGGCAAGACTGAGCCTAGAAAACAGAGCACAGGGTTAAAGTCAAAGGAACAGATCTAATATGGAGTCGGGTTTGTTCTTTTTTATCACACAAACAGCCCCCCTGGCCTTTCCATCCCTGATGTGCAAAATCAGGACGTGGTTTTTCCTGCAGTCACTCGCCCACTTACCCCTGTGAAATGCAGTACATTATACTGCCAGGCTCGTTGGCTTTGGGAAGTTCTGCAACTTTTTTGTTTACTAAGCATTTGGAGCATTTTGGAAACAGTTGTTTTCAGCTAGCAAATTGTCCTCTGAGAAAATTGAAAGTTTGAAAAAGGTTTTAAAGCTTACTCAAAAACTGAAGAAATGTCAAGACTAAAAATATTTAAAGGATGTATCTTTCATGAGCACATATGCTAATGTTATATAGGTCCTGCTGACTTAACTACAATGTAACTTTCTATTTATAAAAAGGAAAATGAAAAATTGTATAATCAAGTGAAAGATCTCCATGAACAATAAAAATGAAGAGTGAATGTTCAAGGAAAACCAGAGCTTATTCAGCAAATTAGCATCCTGAAAGTAAGTCCTTTTTAAATTCTTAAAATCAAATCAATTCTTTCTAAGCATTTTATTGTTATATTAACAATATTTAGTTATACTTGGAAATTTTAAAAATTTTACATTGATTTTCAGTTTTGTAACTTTCATGTTTTTAGTTTTCAGTGGATTTTCTTTTGGCGTTAGACAACTAATACATACTTCAGTATTTTCAGCATATTCATATTTGAATTTGACATCAGTTTCAGGAAATTGAACAGCCCTCTTGATCCGTCATTAAGCCTGGGACATTTATGTAATGCATCTCAGTAATGATGCTTTTAGTAATAATAGTAAAATAAATATACAGTATCATTTACTGTCTTAGGTCGGGTTCCAAACAAGTAGAGCCTGAGCTGGGGGTCCTTGTGGAGGTGATTTCCTGCAGGATAACTCTCAGGAGAAGGGGAGCAAGAGATGCAAGGTGGGGGTGGGCAGGGGGAGGGAGGGCAAGTGAGACCTTGGTCTCAGCCAGAGGCTGGCGTCATTCTTCCCTCACCAGGAAGCTCAGGAGAGCAGACTGCACCCCAGAGTTGGTCCCCAAATGAGGCAAGTGGGGCAAAGCCATTTGTGCCCCCCAGCCAGTCAGTCCCTGGCTGAAGTGTGCTCTAGGAAGTGGGTGGGGGTATCTCTAGGCCGGGGGGCAGGGGCTGCCATTTGGTGAGGATGTTTCTCCAGAGGAGGGGAGCCTCAGTGGTGAGAACCAGCACTCACTGTGGCGGGCTGGCAGAGCTCACACTGTAAGGAATTTTGGATGTTACTACACCCACCTTTAACATGTTAAGTGAAGGAGCTGAACCAACAGCCGTGGGCAAGCTAGGGTCCTGCCTTCTTTTAAGAAGTGACTAACCATTTCACCAAAACATGCAAATAGGACTGCTGTCAGAAGAAACTTCTTTGGCTGTGAATGTCATGTATGTTACACATATTCACATACTTCTTCCATTTTTCTGTAAGATAACTTAGGGCACTGAGGCAGGGCTGCTGTTAGATCACACTGATCTTTCATGCAAAATAGAAAAAGACACACATTGTACAGACAAAGCTAGAAAGTACACAGGTTGGCAAGGGAAAAAATCTCCTTTCCCTAGGCCAAGGCTAATCTGCCTAGTTCTGAAGCATGATGATTTACATCTGCTTTCTTCCCAAATGCTTCAGTAAAGTGTTTCAAAATTTCACATCTTATATTGCCTGTTTTTTAAAAGGGAAGATCTATTCCAGGGTCCAAAACTGGAGCTCTAAATAATTTTCACAATGAAATAAATGATTTTTTTAGTACATTGGCGTTAGATGATCATATATGGAGTCCTAACGTCCTTTTATAATGTCTCTGGAAAAACAGAAAAATTGATTCTAAGGTTCAGGTAGTGGACTGTATATGGTTGGTTAGTTTCCATGTGTCTGACTGGCAGTGTGTGCTTCTCAGAAGGGAGTCTATAATGACATGACAGGGGGCAGAGACCCCACAGGAAAATGCAGCAAATCTTTGTAGGACATTGATTTGTTTTTTCCTCTGAGAATTGGCAGGAAGTATTTTTATATTCCTAATAAGCCAACACTCTGAGGGTTTGCATTCTTTTAGATCCCACATCAGTGTTTCCCTTAGAGTGTACTCCTCACTTAGTGATTTGCTCTTTACAGAAAACAAACTTTTTATCTTCAGTGACACAGAGTTCCACTGTGAGTTAGTTTTGAATTTTTAAGAACTGAGTATTTTGTATTGAAAGGAGTAAGGACCAGAGTGGTGGACAATCAGGTCAGAGAGGTGGCCAGAGGCCCCTGAGTGTGTCTCACAGTAAAATCTTGAAGAACCGCAGTAACTCTCGTGAAATGACATCCATAGAAGGTCACACAGAAGATTCAACAATGAAATGATGAAGCCAAAACCCATGATAATACAGGGCTTTATGGATGGATTTATTTTCTTTGTAAGGCTGGATTTTAAGGTAGTGTGATACAAAATTTCTGACAATTTTTATTTTGAAACTGAACTGTACCAACTGTCCTGCCATGAATCCGAGAATTCCTTCAGCAGTTCTGAGTTGAGTCCCATGTTCATTTACTGAGCAACTGCCCTCTGCTTAGTACCGTCAGGTAACCAGGTGGTGACATCAGTCTCGGTCCCCACAGAGCTTGCAGCTTGTTAAAGAGAAAAGGCCTGCACACAGGTCAGGGTCATGGAAAACAAAGCACTGAGTGCTGTGCTGGAGGGACATGGAAGGTTCGTGGGCGTGTGGGGAGAGGTTACCAGGAAGAGCCGCACTTGAACTCAGTCTTGAAGGATAAGTGTGACTCTGTGAAGCAGAGGAATGAGGATATTGAGAGTTGTGTGGAATGTTGGGCCAAGCCTTTTTTTCCCCTGCATTTGTGACACAAAGGTGAGCAAAATCAAGTTTTGCTTTCAAGTAAATATATACAGTGTCAGGTGCTGATGAGTGTTTTGAGAAGAAAATAAAGCAGCACACCTGGTGGCCAGGTTGGGGGCTGCCATTTTAGAAAGAGGGATCAGGGAAGGCCTTCCTGGGGCCGCACCTGAGCAGAAGCCCTGAGCCAGTGCGGGAGCGAGACACCCGGCTCTGGGGGGCAGAGCTGCAGGCAGGGGAAGCAGTCAGTGCAAACACCCTGGGGTAGGAGTGTACTGAGCGTGTTCCCAGCCAGCCAGGAGGTCTCTGCAGCCGGAGTGGAGCAGGAGGGGGAAGATTTGTGGGACATGCGTCAGAGGAGCAGGCAACACTGGGTTGTGCGACACTGAAGGTCATAGTAATAAGGACTTCAGATTTACCCTAACACAGGGGAGCCACAAGAGAGTTTCAGATGAAGGAGTGATATTAATGGAATCTTCAAAACAATTCACCTCTTCTTGTGTGGAGGGCGGACTGCAGGTGCTGGGAGTGGAAGAGGCGGGCTAGTTAGGGGGTCGTCGTCATCCGGGAGCAGTGAGAGCAGCGGTGGGGAGGGCCCCGCTGCTGTACTGGGCACATGCTCAGATCTGGCTCCCGCGGGCTCCGGGACGCTCGTCATCATTTGGAGGGGGCGGGGTAAAATCAGAGTTGAAATTTTGGAAAGATGACCAGCAGCAGAATAGGATGAATTGGGTAAAAGAGAGCCTATATCGCAATCTGTCGTGATTAGGAATAAGTTGCTTTTGTATTTCTAGGAATATCAAGAAAGAGAAAACAGGTTTATTGGAAGACCTCAAAAGACTGAAGCAAGACAAGCAAGCTCTTGAAGCAGACTTGGGAAAAACGAAGAAAGAGAGAGACCAAGCCAGAGAGCAGGTGCCCGCACCACAGGGAGCACACCGAGCTGGGATGAGTACTTTATACTTGTAACTGTGCTGAACTTGAGTGTAAGTTATAGCAACTAATATAAGCAAAACGCTATTCCTAGAAGTATATTGTTATTTTAGGAACTTTTGAAAATTAGTTATTAAGAGGTATGTACATTTGATTGGTTTCAGCAGCAATAAATGCAAGAGTTGAAGAAACTCAAAAATTATTTTGAATTCCTGGCATTGTGTGTGCAGTTGTTTGCAGTCCTCCCAGCTGGACCGCGACCTTCCAGGGCCGGACTCCCTTTTTATCCCTGGGCCTGAAACATAAGCTCTCAAGTGTTTGACAAGTGAACAGGTGTTTGTAGAAAACAAGAGGGTGAATATGGCGTTCCCCACCGGGGAAAACAAAGGAGGAGTAAGGTAAGAATGCAGAAAAGTTTAATATTTAAAAAAAAATTAGAAATAAACAGGAGGTTCCTGGTAGGGGTTTCAGGGAGAAGAAGCGTTTGAGCTGGGTCCTGGCAGGTGGAGGGCCTCGGGAGGAGAGGAGGGAGGCTGCGCAGCTGTGTCTCGTGGGCGTGTCACTGAGCGCACCTGTCCTGGGCCGCAGGCGGGCAGGGCACGGGGCCGGAAAGGTCGATCAGAGGAGCACTTATTGCCAAATGGAGGCTCTTTTCTCTGTGATTTTATGATCTTCAGTGTAAGATACGTACAAAAAAATTCACTAACATGTTCGTAAGAAATGTACTCTCCTCTTCTGCAAAATACAGTAATAATCATTGCTCCCATCATGTGTTTGTCGTGTTAAGTAAAATCATACAAACTTTGAGAATTCAGACTGTGAACACAACCTTCTTTTACTAACACACGGTACTGTGCACAAACTTGCTACATCCATTGTTTGTTTTTGCCCCTTATATTTTCATGATGCTTTCATTAAATAGGCATTGGTTTTCATGTGAAATCTTTTAATTTAGTTATTTCCATATTTTGAAAAATTACATTCAGGTTATTGAGTTACTTTATCTTATAGGTGAAAAATTATATGAAATAAAAATTTTGGAAGAAACACATAAGAAATGAGTGGCCTGCAGAAAAGATTACAGCAGTGTGCTGAAAACCAGGAGCTTCTGGGTAATGATACAGTTCAGCTTAAGAAAGCAACAGAATAAACAGAAGCTGACACCTGAGGTGATAATGGTTCTGGAACATGCTCCTGTAGATGAACACTGTTCACCAAAATAGTCAGCTCGGAGACTTGTGTCACTGAACCAGTGCTCTAAATGCTGTTAATTAAAACAGCTCATTTGGGTTTGGCTTGCTTTACTTTGTTAAGTCTGATTTAGATTAGACTGAGAATACAGTCCACTGTCCATATCTAGAGGCCCGCTATCCAGCAGATTGAACGAACTGTGGATGGAAAATATACAGAAAAAAATGGAAAGTTTCAAAAAGCAATACTTGAATTGGCCACAGGCTGGCAACTACTTACATACTATTCACGTTGCCTCAGATACTGTGAGTAATCTAGAGAGGATTTAAAGTACACGGGTGGGAGCACGTAAGATCCGTGCAAGTCTTCTGAAATTTTATAAAAGAGGTGTCAGAATCCAAGGATGTTGGCATCAGGGGGAAGTCCTGGAACCAGTGGCCTAAGGTTACCAAGGGATGACTGGAAGCTCAGGCTCCTGATCCTAGCCTGGCACGTACCAATGTGCTCTGAATACTGCCTGTACCACAATGCCCTGGTGACTCTCCTCCAGCCCTGCCAGAATGCCCTCTTCTTCTGGAAGAGACCAAGCTCACTGCACTTCATGTCTGACCTCTAGAAATACCTATTATATTCTGAGCATGGCTCTCCTTCAATAAGAAGGGATGCATTGCCACTACAGAAGACAGGATGGAGGTTCCTTAAAAAACTAAAAATGCACTTAACATATGATCCAGCCTTCCCACGCCTGGGGATAGGACAGGAGAAAACTCTAATTCAAGAAGTCACATGCACCTCAATGCTCACAGCAGCCCTATTTATAATAGCCCAGATGTGGAACCAACCCAAACGCCGATCGGCTGGTGACTGGATAAAAAAGTAGTGGTCTACTTATGCCATGGAATACTACTCAGCCATGAAAAAGGATAAAAGAATGCCATTTGCGGCCACATGGATGGACACAGAGATAGTCATCCTGAGTGAACTAAGCCAGAAGAAAGAAAAATGTCATATGATACCACTACCATGCGGAATCAAAAAACAGACAGAAATGAACTTAACAACAAAAGAACAACAGACCCACAGACATAGAGAAACAAACTTATGGTTACCAGGGAGAGAAGGGGGTGGGAAGGGGAAAATATGGGAATTGGAAAATGGCCCCTCTTGGGGAGTGATGGAAATGGTAGCTATCTGGATGGTGGTGATGGTTTTCTGGGTGTAGACATCTATGAAATTTCATCAAATACTACACGTGAGATGTGTCTAATATACGGAACAGAAATCGTACCACAATAAAAGTGTTATAAAAAAAAAGATGGGCTGCATTGTGTCCTATGTTTCTATGTGTCTTCAGGGAGCCTCAAGAGGGCAGTGCTGGCCTTCCTGCCAACATGATGACATGAAGCCCGAACAATCCATCGATGGGGAGAAGGTAAGAGCCATAGTCACATCTGGACCCCAAGCTTAGACATGGTGATTGGGTGACATTTATAGACAATCCCGCGAGGTTCCGGCCAGAGCTAGAGGCCGGAACAGCAAACTGGCAGTGGCACTAAGGAGCATGGTGGCGCAGAGGCTGGACTGGGGGCCCGCAGGCTCCTCCCAGGAGGAGCCTCAGTGTTTGGGAGGTGGCTAACGTGCCTGCTTCATGTCACCAGCAAGTGATGCCACCTGTGGAAAATCAGCTGGACTCCTGAGCCGGGTCAGCCCTGGGAGATGCGGTAAAGGCTCCTAGCAGAGGGGGTGCCAGACGGACAGTGAACCAAGCAACAGGCTTCTGAGTTTGGGGCCTGTGTTTATCGTGCTTTCCGTGTCTCACTGCATCTCAGTGTCACCCGGAGGAATTGGGGCTGTGTTTAGAGGCTGATGGCCTCTGGGTTCCTCATTAGCCTGGTAAGGCCCCCAGCCCTCTCAGGCCAGACCTTGGCAAGCGCCTTCCCTTGTTCTAACAAAAGCCTTCCCACCCTTGCCTGTGGTGAGCTTTTGTTTTCTTAATTGATGGGAAGGAATATACCTTACAGCCTCCTCAAGCCCTTCCTTAGGGCTTCTGCCCTTAGGCCCCGGCAAGGGGGCCAAACCACCACCCCCCGCTGCCCTGGGCCCTGCAATACAGAGGGTCCCCCTGGCACTGACACTCCCTCAGGCCATGCCCTCCACGGGGTGGAGTCAGCAGGGCCAAGGGGACACGCCCATTGGCTCCACCCCATGCTCCAGACACCCAGGACCCTGAATACCCTGCCCCAGCAGCCCCTTACCCACCTCTAGTGTCTGCACCTGCCCTCCCCAGAGTTCAGCTTCCCAGGACTCACACAGAGGCCAACGGGCAGCTGTTGGCATGGAGGGTATGGATAGAGCCCGGATGTGAGTTCTGAGTGTCCCCCTGTGCACATCCAAGGCCCCTTGGGGCATGGGATGGACTCAGCATTGGGAAGAAAAGGTCCAGGCTAGTGCTCAGAGACTGGGAATCTGCTCTCGCCACACTGTCGCTTTTCTTTTGCGGGACTCCCTTGAGTCTGGGTATTCTAAAGCTGAGCCTGGCCGTCCCCCTTATATGAATG